ATCCATAGTCAATCTATTAGTTTCCTCCTTCACAACCTTGTCCTCTGGTTTGTTTTCTGTATTAGAACCTGTAGAGTACATTAGTATATGAGTCAGAGACAATACACTTTACAGAAGTACTTACTAAGTGTATGTTTGACTAGCTTGTCATTCATATCCATTCCCTTACTAGCTACTACATTGTTGTACACACAATTTCTGAGGAAAATCACAAAATCAGTATAAAAAGAGTGGAAAAGAGTGTAACACTTACTGTCAGATTTGCTAGAGAGTAGTAATAACATAGTAAGAGTGATGGAAGGAAGTAGGAAGAATAAGTAACAATGTTCACACACACACAGAACTTACATTCAGCCTGCTAATCATTAAATCAACCATGTGACTGTAGACAGTCACAAGCAGACACACTAAGAGATAAAACAATCAGTATCACACTAAGAACTATACATTACATACAGACAATCACAGTGATCAATTCCAAACACTCATGTGACTCATAAAAGCCTACTCTAAGAACACCCAACTATTCTACATTATAAGCATTTGCAAACAGAACCACAAGTGAGTACAGTCTCAGAATTGGCTTACACACATTGTTTTCTCTACAGAATGTACAGATCATGTACTTATTACAGGCTCAGAACACAAGTTGTGTTACAGTGAGTGGCTCAGTAAACTATTATGTCATTATTACCCAGATCAAAGTACTGTAATCTTCCAATCAGATAGGACATTAGGGCAATCAAAGTGTTGATCTTAGGAGACTACTAGAAATCTCAGAACTCTCTACACTTTGTCTGTACCAATCAGATAATAACAGTATGAGAACCTTCTACTTCTTTCAATGTAAATCTTGCTTTTCCCTTTTGTATAACATTTCCTGTAGCTAGAATACAGACTACTTAAATTTTCCTCATACATTTTCACCCTATTTTCTTCCAACCTCTGGCAAAAGGTTCTCTTATTTGTTCTTGTATATTTTGTTATTTTTCTTTTGTTCAGTCATAACATTTCCCTGTTAGTACTATACTTTTCTGGAACTTAGAAAACTATAAATACAGCTACTCATGTACTAGATATGGGGGGGAATTGAGATAGTTCACCTATTGATTTAGCTCTTGTCTCTTGTCTCAAAGTCTTCTAGTGTGAGGCATAGTCTTAGTCTTTATTGTTTCTGTATCAGATTGTTTGTTGTACACTTTGCAAAGTGCACATTCTGTTATTCACATCTCTCTTCTGAGGTTGTAACCATGCCAGAAGAACTCACACCTGTTTGGAACCACTCTAGTCTCCTAAGACTTGTAGTTTAGCTCCCCCTCAAACTTAACAAATCACCTGTGTTCTTCTCTTAGACACTTCACAGGAGTTTCAGTACTATTCCTCCTGCCCACTTCACATGACTTGCTGACCTCTAATCCTTCATTCTCCTGTCTTGATCTATCTGTATCTCAAGTGAATCATTATACTAGTTTATTCTCAGCCTTAGCAACTCTACTCCTCCTTACTACTGCCTCCTAACCAGGGTCCTCCTCCAAGCACAGACTTGAGTAAAGTGTCTCTACTAACAAGTAGCAACCCTCTAGCAAAACAGTATAAAGTTGTAAAGGAGAGTCTAGTAACAAAATCCAGACACTTGAAACAAATAAAGTAAGTACTTTTTCCCTTTTATTCACCATTCTATACATTTATAATATTTAATGTTAATAGGTACAGAGACACATACAACTGAATCATCCAGCTCTCACAGTCTGTTAGGCAGAATGTTGATCTTTGAGTCAACATTCTTATAGTAATGAATGTTGGTCAGACTGTCTATTCTCTTAAAGTGTTTGTAAGAATAGAAGTGACTGACAGGGGATATGATGAGGTAGAAAAGCAATACTGTGAAGGAGTTGTGGTAAATGTGTAAGTACCTAACTATATACATGTTTTCTGGCAATTGCTGACAATTCTGCATTATTAGTAGAACAGAACTCAATTTACACCTTAAGGTTTACAACACTGTCCTTGTGGTTTTTGCTAACAAGAGGGACTATATAGAAGCACTCTCTAATAAGGATGCTAGGGCACTGTAGAGAGATGTACATGCTTAATACATGTAGATTCTGTGTATTAGCTATTCTCTGTATTCTTTACCTATCTATACTTCTAACCTACAATTTTAAGTGAATACTAAAGCAGAGCAAGACTGTAGCAACAACACATTCAGCATTAAGAACAAGGAGCACTACTATGTGCTTAAGGAAGGCTGGCTGTCACTACTGATTGACAACCAGCCAAATAAGTTGGGCAAAGGTATAAATCATTTGCAATTGTTGCAGATGATTGTACTGATGTTGATTCTGCATAAGTACAGTAACAATGAAAGGTATGTGAATCAACAGACAAAGTTAAACAAAAAACCAAACACTCTTACTTATTTTTTCTTTTTAGCTTTGAGGACAACATTAAGGTGAGAAAGTACAGGATCATACATTCCTCACCTACTACATTCCTGTACAAGGAAGGGTTGTACAATCTGCAAGTAAGGGACAATGGCCTATTCCACAACCACTTTCTTGTCAGGGTAAGTACTTTTATTGGTCCCATCATAGGATATTTACAATGTCACTATACTACACTATTAGTATGATACTAGTAGTATCTCCCAATCCCCTTCTCTTCTCCTAACAATCCCTGTTCCCTGACTTCCCTACAGTCTGTCAACACTAATGATTATGGTTCTACAAAGGCTAATACTTCTTTTTAGACCTTCCAGCATATTTTCACCAGCCCAACCTCTACAGAAGCCAAACCTGGTAAGAAAGGTAAACCAATGTGTGCAAGTAATACTAAGATCATAGGTATAAAATCCATCACTCCAGAGATGATTGCCTACATTTGTATGTAGGTAAGTACTCAGGCTACAATAGTGATACAATCTAACAACACTTACAATGCTCATAACATTACAGGTGCGTTTTTTCCTTTTGACACTCAATGTCTATAGTAAGGTCAACAAAAACTTCAACTTTAAGGCCTTTTATTATACTATTCTCAACTTATTTGAAGACACTGAGTCTCTATAGGTTAATGAGACACTTGATTGGTGGAACAAGTATGTTTTTTCTCTCTCTAAATTTTAATTTTAAAATTATTATAACTAACTAAACTAACTACACAATTATTAGGCAGGTCTTTAGCCCTTCCAGTGAGGTTGTCACCAACAAGCCTGAGGACAATGATGAGGAGTCGTTTACAGCTCTTTTGAGAGCCTGAAAGACTTGTAAACAGTAGGGAATGTCTCCCTTCAAGCCAGAACGTTCTAGAGATATACCTCAAGTAGGAGAATTGTCTTGTCAGGGCCAAGGACTGGCTACTCAGATGTAAGAGGACTCCCAATGGGTGGAAGACGCATTTCTGAGCAAGACTTAGGTTTGTTTTTTATAAGTCTTGTAACTGTTTCCTTCTCTTCATACTAACAGGGGTTTTTGCAAGGGATTCAAGACACAATGTTGAGATATGTAGGGAGTACTAAAGGTGAACTGGTGTCTCATTTCTTGTTCACACAATCTACTTTATTGCCTTCATTTCTTTCTCTTCTTGCTGCTTGCAAGTTTACTGTTAGTAGTATTGAATAAATACAATAGTAGTATTATGAAATATAAGGGAAATAAAAGAGAAAGTGTATATACCTATTATACTTATATTATAACTGAGCTGTAAGAGTTGGAATCAATTTATAAGGTATAAAAAGGTATCTTGACATGAAAAAGGTTTGTATACCTATATATTATCTTTTATACATTGCAAACACATATTATCCTTCTTAAACAATGAAAAGCTTATAAACTTTGTATTACCTTTCACACATTATAATACTATATTATCCTTTCCTAAAAATGAAAATCTTATAATACTTTCTTATCTAAGAGATCCATTGTAATACATTTTATATATTGCCAAGGAGAATAACTCTTATTTATGTTTACAAATTACACAAACCTTTCAGACTTTATAATGGATTGTAGTACTTTCTCAGAAACTGAGATCCATTCCAAGTGTTTTTACTTTTTTTACTTTTTTCACTTATTTTATACCATTATAAGGTAGTACAAGAATTTAGACTTTTTCCCAATGTCAGACTTGATTAGAGCTAAGAGAGATTACCTCTGATAATTAAGTGTTTCCTGTTATAATTTCATTTATTATTATAACTGTTAAAAGTCCTGGCTGATTTCTAAATCATATTATTATCTACAAGTTTGGTAAAAGTAATTTGTATACATTAATCAGCTGTAAAGTGAGTTTCAATTCCATGTCCTGTAGTGACAGTGGTATTATCTCTTCATCAGCATTTATTGACTGAAGTTTACCCTCTACCCACTTAACTGTTGTAATAGCATCCTTTACAACACTTTTCTTGTGCTTTACCTCAGGGTCACCAGACTTTGATTGCAACTCTTTGTCTTTTATGGTCAACCATCAGGAAAAAGTCTTAAGGCTTATATTAGCTTATAAACATATAAATTATATAAATTTTCTAAAAAATATAAAAGACCATATATCTAACCTCTTAAAATGAGAAAATTATAAAAAGCTATATAAGATACAAAAAGGTATGTACATATTGTCAATATAAATAAGGTTTATAGGTGTTGACAATATGTAAATGAACTTATATCCAACCTCCTAAAATGAAAAGATATTAAAAGAACTTTGTATTTTAACAAGAGTAATGTAGTTTTATAATATATACTATCTAATGTAAAGCTTTAAAAGTACTTTGTATATTGTTAGATATTATTATACTTTATAAGAGCTTTACAAGACTTCAAAATTGTTATAATATTTTACAATCCAGGTATTCATTTATTTCTCTTTTTTTCCTCTTATAATTAAGTATTAACATTTTAATACACTTGCATTTGTTCTATTCTACTACATTGTATTTTAATAATATTGTATTTACAAAACAAGCATGCAGACGAGCAAGAAGAGAGAAAGGAGGAAAGGAGAGTCTAGTTGTAGAGAATCATACTTTGGATATTTATCAAACCAGTCTTCGCCTAAGGGACAGAATTGTTAGTAAGTGCAGGCACTTGAAGTGAGGAGAGGGACACACTATGACACTGTGCAGGAAGGGCGGGTGGTGCACTGGGTTGAGATCCGGAGCGTCGAGCAAACTGATTTGAGCTACAGGCGAATCTGTATCTGTGCGTGCGTGCTGCATGCTCTTGCTACAGCAAGCAATGGAAGGTACGGTGTGCTGAGTCATTGATCGCGAGGGTGTATCTCTGGGACGTCCTGACGTGAAGAGAGAAGGTAATGTGGAAGTCACGGACAGACTCGGTGCAGGCGGCGTGAGTGGTGGGTCAATGCTTCTGTTTAATGCGATTCCATGCCTGGCACAGAGGAATGCAAATGCACACGGTGTGGGCCTATCTAGAGTAGTTTCAAGCACTGAATGTGTGGAAAAGGAGAGTGCGTACCGGGTGAGAGAGAGTGTGGCACGACGGGAGTAGCCGTACAGGGACATTGTCGCAAGCGTGTGCTCATCGTTGTCGTCTGCGCTGCAGAGCGGGAAGAAGTACGCGAATGCATGGAATTATTGAAGAAGTTGTTTGGCATTGGTCAACAATGCGGATGCGCGCGCGAATGCAAAAAGGAAGGTGAACGTAAGAAAGTGAGGACAGCAAAGGAGAGGCAACGCAAATGGCGGAGCGAGGAGCGGGAGGGATGGAAGGGAGACAAAAAGTCGGGAGGAGAGGGATGAGCAACTATTGTGCAGGCTATTATGAAGTGGGCTGGCTGCTTACGCTTTACGCTGAAGGACGGTGTTGTCAGCTGGGTTGTGTCATTGCGAGATCTGAGGCTCAGCGCAGGCATCGCAGTGGCAGATTGGAGAGACAAGTACAGTAATGTTTGTTGCCTATGTTGTTGCAGGCAGAGTGCCTGCTGGTAGGACGCTTGTGAGCGGAGGACTCGACTAGAGAGAACAGAGGCAACGAAATAGCGTTGGGGGCAGAGGGTTGGGGAGACGGTGAAGGTAGGAGGTAAAGGAGTGACGAAGAGAAATGCGTCATTATATGCTCTCGATCTTCAGCAGTTGATTACATAAGCAACTATAATATGAGTCGTCAACTGATAGAACATTTCAAT